AGAAGAAAAAAATCGTTCACGGATCAGTAATTTTTCGCATTTGCTTTCTGGCCGATCTTTTAACAATCACTTAAAATAGAGCACGCAAACCACTCCAAGTGAAGTTACTTCACTTGCATTTTTGTTTTGACTCCATTCTACAGGTCAACTAAACAACGTTCAACTTGCAAAAATTTGTGGTATTTGTGTTTATCCCCTCTTTTTTATTGAGTAATTTCAAATTTATACGAATATTTTTGAAAACAAATAGTCTGAAAAAATAAACTTCTAAATAAAATAATTTGAGTCACATTATGCACTGGTAAAAATTTTAACGATTAATTTAGATATGTATATGAATACCCAAATTCAAATTATATATATAATAAGTAGATAATAAGTACAAAATATATATACTTATAATATAAGTAGATAATTAAATAAGCCAATCAATTTCGGCCTTAAGAAGAGTTTTTCTTCTTTTTGTATTGGTTTCAATTATCCAAATTAGAAAAAAATGAACCATCAAATTCATTTGATAAAAAGTTATATATGAAAGAAAGCTCTTTCGCATATGCATGTAATTGTCATATTTAAGATAAAACTCTTTCTCTCATAAAAGTGCTTTTTAAAATTGCGAACAACCTGTATGTTTGATGCATCCCTTTAATAATTCAGTTATGTGTGGTAATATATTTGTGTTAAATTTAAATGTAAGCAACACAACCGAAAATCATCATATTATGTTCCATTATTAAAATTCTAAAAAACTGACTTTTCTTCTGAAATAAATAATTAGATAATTGAATTGCAGTTATACTCATCATGCATGTATTAGAATATATCATATATAGTTATTTAATATAGTCCATTTTATAAGTACTACAAAGTTACAAAATTAATTATTTATAAATCAATGAGCATAACATTTGCATAATATTGTTTACACAAATCGGTTATCATATACTTAACAATTAAACGTCACAAAGTAGTCTCCATGTAAATCAATTAAAGATTCTGTGTTGTTATGTGGCAGCATCATATTTTGACAAGAAGTAATTACATTTTGACATAATTGGAAAATTTTTACTCGTGAATGATTTACAAATTTTAACTTTGCAGCTAATAGTTGCTCGAAAATGGGGAATTTGAAGAAGGGTGCGGTTTTTGTTTGCAGTTGTTTATTTATAATTTCAATTGGACGTGCAGAGTTAATTATTAGTTCTCAAGATGAATTAATTGACAGTAATGAAGTGTCAGACACATTCACCATCGAAGGCAAAGTTTACCCACCTGATATGGCAGGTGCTCTTTACAACAATAAATGGTTGGCAAATACAACGATTTCTATTAGTGGTGGAGAATATAAAGGATTTTTGAGAGACGACGGTTCTTTTATAGTCAGTAGTGTGCCTTCAGGAAGCTTTGTTTTGGAAGTTCATAATCCTGATTACTTCTACGAGCCTGTAAGGTTACCTAAAATTACTTGTTCATTTTCAGTTGTGACTTTAAAATATTACAGGTTCGCGTAGAAATCAATCCTAAGGGAAAGTACCGTGCTCGTAAAGTCAATTATGTACAGCCTTCACAAGTTATACAAGTACCATATCCATTGAAACTTAAGGCACTGACCCGTTTTAAATATTTCCAGGCACGTGAACAATGGAAGGTAAATATTAGACAAAAATTCAAACATAGTATATATGAAATAAATTTTATTTTAATATAGATAACTGATTTCCTATTCAATCCTATGGTTCTAATGATGGTATTGCCATTGCTACTTATGCTTGTCCTGCCAAAAATGATAAGCGATCCAGAAACAAAGAAAGAAATCGATAACATGCAAATACCAAAAGTAAGTAGTGTTTAGTTTTCCTTGCCTATACTAAATGTTACTTGATTACTTTTTCTAGATGGGCAATGAACTGCCGGAAATAAGTGAACTTATTGCTTCATTGTTTTCTGACAAACAGCCAGAGAAGAAGCAGACAAATAAACAAACAAAAAAACGGAATTAAATAAATAAATATAATATAAATAGATTTGTTGCTTTCTTGAAATTAAAAATTTTGTTTCTTTAATAAAAGTATTGTAATTTAATTTAATATAAACTTATTGTGTACAAAACTTAAAAAATTTAACGTAGAAATGAAGTAGGATTTTCTCTTTTCATACCAAGACGCTCTTCTTCCAATTTTAAACATTCCATTAATCCACTATTTATTGGCTCTGCAATTTCACACCCGATCTTTACGCATTTATCAAAAGAATCTTTATTTAAAGAACCTTTACCTGCGGTCTGCACACTTGATATGAAACCTATAAAGATTTCAAAATTAAATATTTGATCGCCGAAAGTTAATAAACTCACTTTTTCCATTTTTAATTGTAATGCCCATTATTATTGTAGCTGTAGCACATAATTCTTCTTCAGCGGTGGGATCAACAACACAAGCGTCACCAATTTTTGAAACCGTTATTATGATAGGTACAGATTCCACATTTATACGTGAACAGTCGTATATATTATCTGTAATTGTCAATTCGGATTCGCCTGCATCCAATAATGAAGCCGTTACACGCGGAATTTTTACATTAAATAAAGCTGCTTTCGTTGCCAAAGACACCGCATCGTAAAGATTTCCACCACATTCTAAAATCTTTTAAATAAATGAAAAAACATCATACAATAGTGTACATATTGCTGTTGTATATGTTACCATTATATCAACATATATTTTCCAGCAGTGTTGTCCGGACAATATACACAAGTCTGTTAAATCGAATGCAAGAGGGGAATCATAGGTATTTGCTAGAGCGGCAGCTAACTCAGTTGCTAAGGCATCTCCACCACGTCCTTCAAATGCTATATCGGCATTACCAGAACTTTAACAAATTATGTTTAATTAGTAATGTTAAGCATGTTTTTGAACGCATTACTCACCAGTCAACTGAAAACTCTATTTTACCTTGATTAGGGGTTTTTAAATCTGGTTTTTGGATTTCTGTTTTAATGCCTACTATAACATCTGTATTTGCTAATTTGACTCTAGACGAACCATTAGAACAAATAGATGTACCAGTTTCAACTAATATAGTTCGGTAGTCGCAGTTTCTGCGTCCATCGGTGCGATGATTTTTCTGTTATATTTTAGAAAATTAATTAAAAGGATATATAAACGATTAAAGCTTACTTCAGCAGCACGTATTATAAATGTTTTCTCGCCTTCACTTAAAACCACTCTTGCCATTTTGCATTAAATATATAAATAAAATAAAAATTATGATTTTATTTTTATTATTATTGCCGCTATGCATAAGTATGGTTATGTTCATCAAAACATGTCAATACTTGCGTTGCCAACTTAAGATAGTTTTGCGAAAATCGTTTTACATCATATTTTGCTTAAATTTTCAATTCGTCTCAAAATAATAAAATAATGTATGCATAAATGCATAAATCAATATTAATAAAATAATGTAATATATATATACAATTCATAAGAATGTGTGTTAAATATGTTGTTTATATAACATATTTATCTTGTATTCAATACATATGTAAATACATGTTTGATGCTTAGTAACTAGCAACTTATTAGCTAATTAATAATTATTACAAAGTTTTAAGCAATATATTTAAAGTAATTGTAAAAAATAATTTGATTTATCTGTCCTAAGAAGAATAGATAAGGGTTGCATAGATATTTTCGTATAAATTGTATCCGTTTCATTTTTTCATTTGCACTACATGCCCCATATGCCACCTACAGACAGTAAAAAATTAAAAGATTACGAAATCTTCAATAAAATTTATATGAACTTAATTAATTGTTTTATATGTTATATAGACAGTATTAATGTCGACCCTGTTAAAATTCCGCGAATCTAAGAAGTGAAGCTGGCAAAGCGAACTCAATCAAACTCAATCAATAAAAAAATTTAAATAACCGAAAAATAAAAATTTGGTTTCTTGCATATCTAAGCAGCATAAGTAATGATCTGAATGAAGCGATACGGATCACAAGTGAAAGTAATTGGCAACGCCTCAGTTATGTCAGCTGTGTTGGTTTACAAAATTTTGTTTTGATTTGTATGAATAAATTTGGCGCCAAAATAATGATCGAAAAAATTTCAAATACAAAATCTGCTGAAATATCTGAATTATTAAATGAATGTTTTTGTTTATTATTTATTTTAGAAATGAACTTTAATTCTGTAGAAAATATATGAAAATCGCACTTGTTCAAGTGTATCAAGCTTAAGGATGAAGTGCATCAACTTGGATATATTGGGAATTTTAAGGAAACTGTTAGTAACTTTTCCAATGAAGAGTTCATGAACAATTTTAGGCTTCAAAGATGTACCACTAATTACTTGACGGATATTTGTTGTTTTTTTTATATGCATATCTAATAAATTGTTATTACGAACAATATTCAATAGCAAGAAAGCTTACTACAATAAAAAGCATTATTATAGCTTAATCTTGCAGGCAGTTTGTAAAGCAAGTGGTTTTTTTTATAGAAGTGTATGTTGAAGATACTGATTCCTTACACGACAGCTGAGTTTTGCGTAGATTACAATTGTATAGTACAGCATCACTCTTAAACAAATTTCCCAGCGGTTCTTTCTTCTTAGGAAATTCTGTACATCCTAATTTTAATTAGCTAGTAAGTCCATTCAAAGATAATGGTTTTGTCTTTCACCCAAAGAGAGCTTAATATAATGCAGTCGGAGCAAGAATTATCATAGAAGACACTTTTGGTCGTATGAAAAGAAAGACCTTCAATAACGAATTTAATTATGTACATATTATGCATATAGCATAATATATGTTGTATACAAAATGATGAAATTCATAATGAATTCATTTAGAATGACTATACCTATGAGAAAAACAAATTAAATGCTCAATATCTTGTAGTGGATAATAGACGGAATTCAATTTTATATATTTGTTATATATCAGTTATATTTTTTATCATATGTTAAAACCGCTTTGCCAACGACATACATTAAATCGGAATGTGAACCAGTTCAATTATTGGTTCACCGATTTGTTATTGTTTTGCATGTAAATTGTTTGTTGAAACACGTCTATATACAAAATATACAATTCTTAATTTTACAAAAATAATTTGCTAGTGTATAATTTATTTTGATAATTTTGAGAAAACTTTGCATATGTCATATATAGTAAAATGTTTGTTAGCTGACATTTTTTAAACAGTTTTTCTTTAAAATCAATTTTAAAGATTTTAGCAATACAATATTATGAGTTATGAGTAAAATCCGACTCGTATAAACTAAGCCGAAGATTATACAATGTAATAAATAATAATAATATATGGAATATATTTCATATATAAAGAGATTTAACCAATCTCATCTATTAATAAATTTAAAAGCGTGTATATTTATATGGACAAACCTTTTTTAAGCCCTAAATGTATTTTTCTCAAATTTACCGTATTCAACTTAGACATCGTTTTGAAATATCTTCAGAAATATCTCTTGCGTTGTTGAGGTTTTGGTCTGTATGCGGAACCATATAATTCATGTCTTACTTGGTGTCCTAGCCTCTCCTTTTCCATAATGACATATCCACAAGTATTACACTTAAAACTTGAAGTTGGCTGGTCTGCGTTTATACGTAATTGCAAATGCGTAGATACGGTAGGCGTATCGTATTGCGTACCGCACTGCATGCAGTGACATGATTTTTTAAAACCTTCAGTAGTATTTTTTTGCAACATTTCTGATGACATATCTTTCGACAAAGAGGAACGCTTACTTTTTTGAAGACATGCAACGTTTGAACAAAAGCTCTCTTGATTGAATTGTTTTAATATTTGACTACCCTTTTCTGGATTTTCGGTTGGGTGAATATCTAAGTTGATACTTTGTAATAAATTCGAATTTGAATTTGATAGAGATGGAAAATGCCATAACTGAGTGTCGTCCAATTGACCTTCTCCTAACAATGGCTTATTGAAAGGGCCTGAAGGGTCAGTTGTCCAACAGAAATCATCATTTGGTGGAATGCCTAAAGACTTAGAATAATCGTTATTTGAATGACATTCCAGAGTACTTAAACAATTTACGGGATTTTTTAAGGATTTTTGATTACAACTTTCAGCAGAATTTGTTGTGCATTGGTTTGATTGAATTTCATCATTTGTAAGATTGAAATCTAATCGCAGTTTCCTATTTAGTTCAGACATCGATAATCTTCCTGATTTCTTAGAATTTTTCACCTTTAAACCACGATTGCTGCGTACCTTATCACTTGAATTCCCCTTTGAATTAACTTTTTGGCGAGGCGGTAAAGCCAAATCATCTAAAGTTTTGATATATTTAAGTTCTTTCATAAATTCCTTTAAATCAAAAGGAAAATATTCTTTCTTCGCCATTTCTCTATCTCTATCAAAGTTCTAAATTCATACAAAGTGACACAACCGTCTTTCCTTAATTTCCTGTATCATGAAATTAAAACTTAATAAAAAATTAATACGCTTATTACGTAAAAGATTTTTTTTTTTAATTTAAAGACAACTTTTTCAATACTATGAAATTTGTATTGAAAAAAAAAATAAATTCAAAGTATTTAGTTTAACAAAAATGCTTTACTGGCCTTAATTGTAATAACTTACCTTATTAGATGTCTCTTTCGTTTTCACAAGTTTTTGGATTTAGAAGTGAATCACAAAGAAGCTTAGTTTTGTTTAGGACTTCAGTAACGTTTTTTTTTAACTTAAAAATTCAAAGCGCGTATTCACTTTTTAAATTTGTGACTGCCCTTATTCTTGTTAAGTTATAGAAAGAGCCAATACGTTCTGCACTTTAATGAAAGTGTTGCCAGATTCACAATACCACGGTTAAATTAAGAATTTTTTGCTCTCTGAATGTCAGTAACTACATTCAAAGAATAAATAAAATTTTTTACAATTTTCTAGGCTTGTCATTTAATATTGACAAATTGACATGTTATGCAAATGTTGCTATCTGTGTTGTATGAAATATATATAAAAATAAAATAATAATATGAAATAAAATAAATATATTATTATAAATTAAAAATTAATTCAATTAATTTAATGGAGATAATTAAAATTCTAACCACAGTACACATTACAGTATGTGTACATCACATTGCTAAATGCTTCATATAATTCATTACGTTTACGCGAGCCTTAAAAGTTGTTTTAAGGCTCTTAAAATCTATTTTAAGATCGCGTAAACACCCTAAATTGAATTTTGCTTAGAAGCACTTTTAGCTTACTAAACAACACTTTTAGTAAGAAATGTCACTCTTAATCTTTGCAGAAAAACAAATAATTAAATTGTTAGACGGCAAAAAATATAGAAAAAGCCTAAATCTAAGTAATTAAAATTGCTTATTTTTTATTTTCTATTCGAAAATCTTAACTTTACCGTAATGGTCACTTTATATTTAAAACATT